AGACTTTGTTCGAATGTATCAACCATGAGCTTTTTGCCGACTCGACCACGCCTCCAACACAATTAAGCGTTACGTGTCAACTGGTTATGCGCCATTGAGGCCATTGACTCCGATTTCAGCCTGCTTTTCTTTTTGGATTTGCTTCCATAGCCTTTGTCCAACCAAGAACAAACTACAAGGCAGCAGTTGTTTAATTTTGGAGTTGTCTCTCCTAGAAGAGTGGCTGTCCCCAGCTAACGAGCCTCATCTGCCCGAGGGTTTGAACTCGAGACTTTTCGGTTTAGCAACCATGAGATTTACCGACTCGACCACGCCGAACCCTTTACTGTATAATAATACCGAATAAATACATGATCATGGCGTATAAAATACAATATTTACAGATTGATTCAGTGGCCCACTGATAATTTTTGCATAGGGGATCGAAAATCCTAGCTACGCCACTTGAGTCTGTGGTCTCTCATAGTTTAACACATGACCCTAAGTATCTACAGTGTTGTCATAGTTTGACACAGGCCCAGTCATACGCTAATAATTTAGAGTACTCACCAGACCGAATTAGTGGGAGGCACATTAAAAAGATGACCAGCTTCATCTTGAATATCCAATCACACTGCGTGTAACTTGTATCAGCTTCGGGATCTTGTAGAAGAATCCAGAACCTCGTCTAACGTTGTGGCTCCCTGATATATTCCTTTTTTCTTATGTCTTCAAGCGGAAACAATGCCAAGCTGTGAAATGCAGCGTAGAGAAAGAACGGCTACAACAATTTGAATATTTCAAAATCTGAAGATCTGTTTTAAGTCTACGGCTATATTTTAAAGCAAATGGGTAGATGCAAGCGATCGTCTCTTGATTGTTATTCATGAGATTTATTTGAGGAGCAGTTGTAAGGAAATTGTGTTAGGGAGGGGTGATATGGTGGGGTATGGGAAAAATAGTAGGGGTGTATTATTTGAGTGGGGTATGGGATAAATGGTAGGGATGGGTCATATGGTTGGGGTATAGGATAAATGGGATAAATAAATAGTGGTGAGTTGTTTGGGATGGGCAGTAAATGATTAAACGTAAGGGTTGTTAGTATGGAATTAGCAGTAGGGATTGTTGATCTCCCCTACACTTTCTATAATATCAGAGGCGTAGCGAGGGTGGGGCGGGGGGTGCGGGCCACACCGGGTGACACCATTTAGGGGGGTGACACCAATGCCAAAAATTGCAAAATGTATTGGAGAAAATGCTCTTTTGCCCGTACCATAAATGATTAATTAAAGTTAAATAGACCTCTAAGCACAAATCGACAATTATTACAGGAGGGTGGGGTGAACCCATGGCGTAAACGGGTTAACTATAGAGAAAACAATGCTAGACCCAACTGTATTATTAACAGAATATATATATAAACATCGTTACTATATATATATATATATATATATATATATATATATATATATATATATACATATATATATATATATATATATATATATATATATATATATATATACACACACTTTATTTCTTATGTGGGGGGGATACCATGAAGTGCCGCACCGGGTGACACCCGACCTAGCACCCCTCTGTATAATATTCTTATATAACAGTAAGGGATGGCAGTATCAGTGCTTTCTGGCTATAGAAATGTTATTTATTAATTTTTTTTTTAATTATTTACTTTTTATAATGGGATATAGACAAGAAATAATCACCGAAATTCTGATTTTTTCGTCGTAATGAGTTACTTGCACTTTTGGATTCTTTGCCCTTTTCTTAATTCAGAAAATAAGAACTTAATTGAGAAAAAAAAATTGTAAAGTTATAAAAAAGTATGACCCTATAATATATATTATATAAAAGAAAAAAAAAATCATATTTGTTTTAATTTTACGCTAAGAAATATTTGACACCCGCCATTATAGTGTATTTGGCATAATTGGAAAGCTGGATTTGTCCGGTATTTGTTAATTGAAATTTGCATCAAATTGCTAAGCTTTAAACCGGCTTAACAAATCACACAGAAATGTTATTTTCCTGACCTAGTTTCTGTTTTTTTAAATTATTCATGACAATCTCGATTTCGATTTTTGCACTATTACATGCATCTTTATATTCCGTATACTATATAGTGGGGAGGTGTAACGGCGAAAACTTTAAAAAATTCATTTAATTTATCTGCAGGATTACAATATTTATACTCTGTATTAGAGAAAGTAAAAATGTCTATGTACCCCATAGTTAAAGTAATTAGAACCGTTGCTGTCAGGAATAAAAATTAATCTTAAATCTAACTGAAGATCTGTACTTCTTTTATCCCAGAGAATAATTTTAGACTGGCTTAGAAAACGCAATTCTTAAGAAAAATTGTAAACGAGAAATCGTCTTTACAATGTAATACATGCAGCGTAATAGAAGCGAGCGCTTGGCTAAGCAATACAAGGGTAAACTGGGAAGGGGAGAGGCAGGTTACAGTTGTGTGGCTATAGTGTGTAGTGTGTTGTGCTCAAAGTAGTGGGGTTAGTGCGAAAGTGTTAAACTGGGATGGCTGGTGTGCAGGGGTTGTAGTGGTGTTTGTGGTGTTACTTGGTGTCAATGGTGTCAATGGTGTATAACGGTGGTACGGCTGGCATGAATTGAATAAAGAAGTGTGGTTTAAGTGGTGGAGTTAGTGAGAAGGGGTTAAAGTGTTGGGGTTAGTGTGAAGGGGTTTAAGTGTTGGGGTTAGTGTGAAGGGGTTTAAGTGGTGGGGTTAGTGTGAAGGGGTTTAAGTGGTTGGGTTAGTGTGGAGTGGTTAATTTGGGATGGCTAGTGTGTAGAGTTTAAAGAAAAGTTGCTAGTAAGTAACAGCTAAAGTGGTGTTGATTGCATGTGGTTGTTAAAGTGGTGTGGTTAGCGCTATTGGGTTTCATCAGTGTATCTAGTTTTTCACTGGTGTATCTAGGGTTTCACTGGTGTATCTAGGGTTTCACTGGTGTAACTAGGGTTTCATCAGTGTATCTAGGGTTTCACTGGTGTATCTAGGGTTTCACTGGTGTATCTAGGGTTTCACTGGTGTATCTAGGGTTTCACTGGTGTAACTAGGGTTTCATCAGTGTATCTAGGGTTTCACTGGTGTATCTAGGGTTTCACTGGTGTAACTAGGGTTTCACTGGTGAATCTAGGGTTTCATCGGTGTATCTAGGGTTTCACTGGTGTAACTAGGGTTTCACTGGGGTATCTAGGGTTTCACTGGTGTAACTAGGGTTTCACTGGTGTATCTAGGGTTTCACTGGTGTACCTAGGGTTTAACTGGTGTAACTAGGGTTTCACTGGCGTATCTAGGGTTTCACTGGTGTAACTAGGGTTTCACTGGTGTATCTAGGGTTTCACTGGTGTAACTAGGGTTTCACTATTGTAACTAGGGTTTCACTGGTGTATGTAGGGTTTCACTAGTGTATCTAGGGTTTCACTGGTGTATCTAGGGTTTCACTCTTGTATCTAAGGTTTCATCGGTGTATTTAGGGTTTCACTGGTGTATCTAGGGTTTCACTGGTGTATCTAGGGTTTCACTCTTGTATCTAAGGTTTCATCGGTGTATTTTGGGTTAAACTGGTGTATCTAGGGTTTCACTGGTGTATCTAGGGTTTCAGTTCGGCTCTTTTAATATAAGGATCCGGCACGTTATTCCCATAATAATTATATTAGTTTATTTTCATAACTAATAAAAATATTATACTGTAAAAAACAACTTGAAACAAGATAAAACTATGAGAATAGGTGAGGTAGAACGTATAGACACAGCTGTCACAAGGGCCAGCTTCACAACTGTGATGTGGCCAGCCCCGTGGCAGTGGTTCCATGCTTTCCACTACCAAAGTGCAATTTTTTCGAATATTTTCAATACTAATTGTTATTTTATTCATAAAGCATTTTTTATGTGTCAGTGTGTATTAAGTTGAATTTAGTGACCTAGTTTTTTTAGTTATTAGCTTCTAAATTGGGTAGGGATAGTGCTATAGTTATATAATTTGATTTTATTATCCTACAAATCGTCACAAACGTTCAAACCCCGTCATCCGCTAGCTGTGTGTTGTCATTTATGGTTGACCCCTAATTCGTTATCTTTGATCATAAGAGATAAAGATTTTCTGATTTATTTTTTATTTTTTTTTTGCCAGTAGATTGGGTATTAAATTCTGTGTTAATATCCTATAGATTTTAGTAGAGAATTTATAAATTTCGCAAGTGTACTTTTGAAGTAACATTTTTCAATCAGTTGAGTGCTAGAAATTAGGTTGCACCTACTACGGTTCAACGTATGCGCACTCATCAGAGAGAAAAAAATCCGTCCTTAACACCATGTCTTAATGAGATATGTGAAGAATAATTATGAGATAATTTAAATATAGTTATATGGATGAGATTTTGGAGCTAATGTTTTTCCATGCTAAAATAAAAAGTCTTAAATTTTAATGTGCAATGAACTCCTAACGTATTTAAATAGTTTGATTGTGTATAGTAAAACTATATGAAATACTTGGTTTCGATTTAACAAAAGCTCGTTTTAATTAATAAAAGAAAGACACCGTATAAATTCTTATTCAAAGTCATGTATTCATACAGTTATTGAAAAAAAACAACTAAATCAGACTTTCAAAACTTTTAATTTAAACTATATTATAAAATTTCTTATATAATTTCAGCTGTTTTCACTGGATAAATTTCTTTTAGTCGAAATATACAATGTTCAAATAGTAAAAACGAATAAGTACGAATAAGTACGAATAAGTATACTATATGTGGGTCGTGTTTGTTGGATACTTGCCATTTAGCTCAGATTTCAGCCAACAAGTAGATTGAAAAAATGCATGTTTTAAAAAGATACCGTAAGACATATAAATATAGGGCAGACTTGTCAAACTTTTAATTAATACTTTATTCATATTTTTTATTTCATTTCAGCAGCTTTTCTGAATGTAATCAAAATTTCAAAATATCAGACTTTATTTTCTTTTAGTAGTAAAAACAATGTCCTATAAGTGAAACTGCTCTATATGTGAGATATCTACAAGATAGAAATATAGAAAGTGATTATAATTGTACATAGAAAATCTCGCCGCTTTTTCTATTTTGTCTTATTTACACCTATTAGTGGTGTCCACGCCACATCCACCATCCATATCCCATCCTGCTCTGCTCCTGCACCATGTTTCTGGTGTTACAGCGGTCACCAGTACAAAAGCACGTAACTTCCTTCTTGTGAGTCAGGCAGCCATTGGCTGGGATACGTAGACCTGGGAACTTGCCGTCTGAACAGCCACGGACCACATCTAGTGTGAAAAAAAACTTACTAACATAGATACTTTAAATTGAAGAAGATGAAGTATAAGTAAGGTACCCTTTTCGAACGTGTATATATTCATGTATATATATATGTATATATATATATATGTATATATATATATATATATATATATATATATATATATATATATATATATATATATGTATGTATATATATATATGTATATATATATATGTATGTATATATATATATATATATATATGTATGTATATATATATATGTATGTATATATATATATATATATATATATATATATATATATATATATATATATATATATATATATATATATATATATATATATATATATATATATATATATATATATATATATATATATATACAAACGATAGTAACATTTGAAATGTGTTATTAAATTTAACGGTTATAAATAATGACTTATTTACAAATTGGCAAAACACTTCATTTTTGTTTGTTTGTTCTCATATTAACTTCAAATAAAATTAAAATAACGAAACATATTCAAAAAGTTGAAATAAGTTCAGTTGATGTAAATTTGTTACAAACTTGTTTCAGATTGTAAGTCTCCCGTAAAACAATACAAACTTTGTAGAAGTCGATTTAAAAAAAAAAAAACTAGCATGATTACGGTAGTAAAAACTTTCAGTAGTAAAAACCAAAATACTTATTTTCTTTTATGTGTTTGGTCTGGGGTTTATTAATTTTGTAACTTTATTTTCTTACATTTTTTTTAGATTCCATAAACAATTATTTGTACGCCACAAACTGAGTGTTAACACTCACCTCCACCAAAAGGTGTTTTGTTGACAGAAGACATGCAGGGTCCCTTACACCTGACAAAACGTGTGTTGGTCCCAGTCTTTATTTTCCCATTGGCAGGACACAGGTAGTTCTGTTTCTTGCTGCTGCAGCCGCTGGTACAGCTGTGGCAGTCGTAGTAGCGCTGGGCTGGGGCTCGTGTTGTGGTTTTGGTGGTGGTGATAGCTGTTGTTCGTGTCGTTGCTACATCGAGAAGTAAAAAATTAAACTTACAAATATACACGTCTACAAACAAACACACACGCATACAATAAATAAATAATATTATAACTTATATGTAATAATAAACTGTGTGGCGGTACCAGTTGCAGCTACAGTGGTTGTTGCTGCTGTAGTGGTTGTAGCTGGATTCTGCGTTGTGTCGGCATCTGCTGCATCTGGTCGGTAAATAAAATTATAAAAAGCTTACAACTATAATTTGATAATCCTTTAAACTATTTTAAATTTATTTGTATTAAAGAAATATTTTATAATTATAATACGTTGAAGAATTCTCAACGTGTAGCGATTCATTTACTGAAAGCAGATGTGATTTTTTTTATTAAAACAGTTTCACTTAAGACCAAAACATTAGTTCAATAAATCTATAAAAATGAAAATATCTTATGTCTGCGGTTGTGTGGGTGGGTATGTTTAGGTGTGTGTCTGTATTTTATGACACCATTCGTACTGTCTCCATGAAGCCATGGGAAGCTGTTGAGAATACTTCAGGAGATGTTTATGTGAATAAAATTAAAATTTCGGACGTTTGAATCGTTCGTAGGGTGGCATTTGGCTTCCCTGGCTTCTTCTTTAACCCAATTTTATTTTCATTTGTTTTAAAGTGTGTAATAGACTATGGATAAAGTGGGCTACTTTAATCGTTGACTAAATTAAATCGTTCGGCGCCCCTGGAGTTTTAAAAGGCATCTACAAAAGGGACACTCTGGGCCACTACTTTCATGATTAAGAAGAACCACGGGTCGCACTCGGCACCCAATTTGTAATGTAACCTAAAGCTCATGAGAACCCCCCGCCACTTGTCTGGCATATCTGGAGTGTTCTACCTCTCTATTACGGAGGAAGATTAATTTACAAACGGTTTCTTTCAGAACGCCCCGGGGCGTCTGGGCGTTAGTCTGGACAAATCTGCACCCAAGTACTATGATCCATGAAATATAAAAGCGAGCTTTGTTACATAAATAAATATGTTCTAGAAAACAATGTGATAGTCTAAAAATAAACGATTAGTAACGGGTTGATGACATCCTTATAAAATTTGCGTCACTCTGTGTGTAGAAATAGATCACAACAACGCACAGGACGAGTACGCTAATTATAAATAAATGCGTACGCGCGTAATAATTAAAAGCTGGCAACGTAAAATAAAATAACATTTGCGCTTAATGAAAACTATGTACCAAATGTGTCTCTTCCACTTATTTGGAAGCCTATAATTATCAAACGATATACTTTCTAATGATGCTGTGGCTTAAATCCCGAGATTATAATTAGCAAGTCATAACTTAACGCCACGAATTCCCGTGCTGTATAAACACTGACCACACGTGCAGTAGACGAACGCCTGCGTGTTCTGGTTGGTCACTGTGTCCACGGCATCCCCGTCAGCTCCATACAGCTTGCAAGCACCTTGATAATAATCGTAGAGAAAACACCTCGGGTTGTTGGAGCAAGCTTGAAAACATGCCTGGTAAAAGGAAACATTTACATTTGTTTTTAGATAGCTCAAAACTGGCTGATTTGTTAGCTGCGGCAACTACAACCTATAATTAATACCAAAATCGATTGGAGAACAAACTAAAGTAACTGCCAACATTGACCAGTAGGCTTACTATTAAAGAAAATCAATTGATAATTTTTTTGGTTTGTTTAAGAACAATTTTAGATTCGTCAACGGACAACAGGTAATGATGGCGTGTCCTACATCACAGCTGTGATAACAAGTTTATAAAAACAAATATAATTACCGAAAAGTTTAAACAAATTAGTTTTTCTTTACCTGATTTGTAGTCGCTTCTGTGTCTAATCTTCCTTGGTTTTTTCCAGTTTTGCAGACTTTATCTATGTAATTAAAATACAAATAGAATATAATTGTTCTTGTTTAATACATGTATTTCAACTCTAGCTTGACTAATACCCATACGCCTAGTATTCTTCCGGATGGGTCTACAGAAAATGTCAAAAGACGCTTGTCCGAAAGGCGTTTGTATTGATATATCTCTGTTAAACGTGTTATTGAACTTTGTCACTTTCTGCAATAACTTCCAATCGTTCATTATTGCTTTTAGACAAGACTAGTGTCTTTCGGTCTGACGTCACGGTTAAAAGTTTTACATGCTACAGATTTATATGAGAATTGCTGTATAGAAACACACTTATATGAGGTGTTCTCTAGAAAGGGGCACTTATTATCAGTAATTTTCTCCTATTTTATCGACGTAGAAAACAGTTGGTAAGTCAGCAATACCAGGTAGAAGTCTATTCTCTGTATATTGACTGTGGATAATTCAAAATTGCTGCTTAGAAATGAGCTTTAAAATCTTTTAACCCGGTAGTCTCGGCACTCTACCCCCCCCCCCCCCCCCCGAACGAAATGGAATTTATATAGAAAACATATATTTCTACCGGTGTCCGCACCCCCCCCCCTCCCGGAAAATCTTTACCCCTCCCCCCGAAAATATAAAGTGCCCCTCCCCCCAGAGAAAAAAGTGTGGAAGAAAGATTGTTGGCTAGCCGTACCCCCTGCCCCCCCCCTCTCCTCGCTACGCCTCTGCATTGAACGTTTGCGAAAAGTATGAAAGAATCCTTTGTATTAAAAATAGTTGAAAATAGTGTTTAGTACTGCCACAACTAACCTACCCACAAACAGGCTACTAAAATATTTACTACAGTTACCCATAAACAGACAGACCTTTTAAAAGATACTAAAATACTCACTACAGTTACCCACAAACAGACAAACAGACCTATGAAAGCTACTGAAATTACTCACTACAGTTACCCACAAACAAACAAACGTATGAAAGCTACTGAAATACTCACTACAGTTGCAGTAGACGTATGCATAGGTGTCGACATTGTCCACTGTGTTCATGGCATCCAAACTCACAATCTGATAACTGCACGCGCCGTTTTCAAACGTGTACTGGTAACATTGGGGGTCAGCTGCGCATGCTTCGAAGCAGGCCTGTTTTAATAGACAAATAATAAAATAGCATCTTCTGTCGTAAAGCAGAAACAGAATCAAGTTTTAATTTAACTCCTCTCGTGTCCAAGACCCATTTTGCCGAACACAGAAAGCACTTTCCACTTTTGCTCCTATTACCGGAGGCTGTTCGAAAATTGACAGGCAGCTTATCAAAAAACCGACACGACCACGGCAACACCTTGAATATACTTATATAAGGTATTTTGACAACCTAATATAACGATACTTTAGTTATCGTGTTCACATAATCAGACACAGACAAACAAGATTGCAAATTCCCAGCACCGGAAACATTACATTTGTCAAAAACTCGATTTAGATTTTTTGAACGATTACAATACATTCATTATGTTCCGTATACCATAACTATCAAAAACTGTCAAAATATATGTTAATTATTCAGCATGATTACAATATTTTCTCTATACTCTTTATGAGAGAAAGTAAAATAAAAATATTTTTTTTTCTATCAAAAACGTTTGGTGATTGGGATCGTCTAGTTGTTTGAGTTCGGTACCTTCAAAAAGATTAACGCTAAATTCCTCCTAAATTACCTACTATAAAGTCAATAGGAAATAAGTTTAAAAACTCCCACTGAATGCGTCAAATCTAGAGTAACGTTAAAGCTCCATATTACCTTGTTGGTAGGTACAGGTGGAGTAACCGTTCCCACACCTCTTAAGGCTGTACATTGGGATGCTGAAAATAAATGGTGTAAACATGCACTTGAAAATGATATATAATAAATAATGTGTAGGCCTACATAGATTCATTCGCATAAGCGCACATACATACGCACTTAAAAACGTAAATATAATTCATTATATATATATATATATATATATATATATATATATATATATATATATATATATATATATATATATATATATATATATATATATACATGAATCCAAAAGAGTGTAACCAGTGGCGGAACTAGAAAAAAAAGCCCCCCCCCCCTTAGGCCCATATATATATATATATATATATATATATATATATATATATATATATATATATATATATATATATATATATATATATATATATATATATATATATATATATATATATATATATATATATATATATATATATATATATATATATATATATATATATATATATATATATATATATATATATATATATATATATGGAAAACAAATTTTTAAGAAAATTTTCCATCTGGTACACGAATAAATCAGAGGTTTTCCAACACACGAGCTGGCCCCATTCAGCCACAGGCGTGGCTAGGGAGGGGGGGGGGCGGTCGCCTCGGGCGCCGACCCTAGGGGGCGCCAAAAGGGGGTGGAAATTTTTTTTTAAAGCTGATTTTATTCTACAGTTTTGAATTATAGACAGTCTAAGTTAAGAACACGCCTTTTCATACTGGTTAAACTGTTTTCTACCTTGAAAAATTCTGTAAAACATATACTCTTAAGAAGCAGTGACCAGCAAAACCGCTTTCCAGCTTTACCTAGATGGGGGGGGGCGCTTTTTCGAGACTAAAATCGGAAGAATTTACACTATATTGGTGAGTCGATACACGTTACCACTTATAAAAACAACCAATTGTATTAAAACAGTTTGTTTAACAGTAAAATACGTTAGTGACTTTAATTAAGATGGTGCAGGGGGGGGGGGCGCTTTTAGACTAACTAAAATCGCAAAATTACACTGGATTTTGAGTAAAGAACCTTTAGCACTTAGAAAAGAAACTAATTGTACTAAATTGCATTGTACAATTGTGTAACATTTTTTTTAAAGTTAGAAAGCTAGTTACGTTAACTAGCTCTACTATTTTTTGCTGAAGAGCGTGGTATAGTGACTGTAAAAAAAAATAATCGTACCGAGCAACAGTGTTTTTCTTTTACAAACCAAATATCAAGACAAAAATGCACGAAAATTAAATTCAAAATTTTTAAAAACATTAGTTATGGTCAGCCGTGGGCCCCTAAACGGCCTGCCCCCCCGCCCCCATTGCGGGGTCTGACGGCAGTGGAACATACATCAAATGCTAGCTGGAAGAACAACAGAATAAAAAAACTATCTACAACGTGAAGAAACAAAAAGCAACAGGGAAAAACACGGAGACACACGTAGAGGGACAAAGAAACAACGAAACGCAAAGAAACACGTAGAAGCAAGACGCTGAGAGGTGAGTACAGAAGATTTGTAGTGACGGGAGACGGCAGATTCGCTATTGATGTGTTGTGGGTGAGTAGAAAATTATACGACAGAAACACACAAAGGCATATACACACATGGAGTATCATTTTAGCTCTCCTGTATGCAAAATATATGCTGCGTCTCATATTTTATAGCCATTTTCTCCTCTCCAACGAAGTGTACCTCTTACAAAGTATCAGTGGGCTCTACCCCGCAAATATGTAACGTCATATACTACTAATTACTTATTTAGTGTTGGCACGTGGTAGTATTATAAACACAACTTTGAGCATACTGTTTTCCATGTGTTGTTATATATCCTATAATATTATTATACTCTGTCATTTAATTGGACTGTCGTGTTATGTACGTATTGCTGTAAAGTGCTTTATACGTCACTTGTTGCGTATTGTGTTCTGAAAGTGTCGCGAATTAAGTTTTGCGTGTCGTTTGCATGTATATTATTAGTCGCGATATGTTTTTAAGTTTACTCCGAATAATTAAAAAAAATATGATCAAGTTGTCTGCGTGGTCGAGTTGGTAAAGCTAGCACGGTTGTTAAACCGAAAAGTCTAGAGTTCAAACCTCTGGGCACATCAGGCTCGTGAGCTGGTGACAGTCACTATTTTAGGAGAGACAACTCCAAAATCAAACAACTGTTTCCTTGTAGTTTGTTATTGGTCGGAATAAGGCTATGTAAACAAATGCAAAAAGAAAAGCAGGATGAAATCTGAGTCAATGACGTCAATGGCGCATAACCAGTTGACACGTAACCTGCTGACACGTAGGCCTATACTTAATTGTTTCGGAGGGGATCCCTTCCAACGCTAAAAATTAAGAACGAAGAAGTTACCGAGGCTGATATTTTACAATGCGCGGATGACCTATAGGTTACTTATGCATTATAATCAAGTAGACAAAGAATCATAATAAATTAGACTAAGCATCAAGAGCAAATAGACTTTAACACCTAAATCAAGTAGACTTAAATATCATAAAGTAGACAAAGCATCTTACGCACCCCCTGCAGCTGTTGTCGTTGCGGCGGCAGGTGTGGTAGGGCCGCAGTAATAATTGTCATAGCGATCCATTATGCCATTGGCATATTCGGTGAATAAAGCAAGATCACCGGCTTTGCAGCCAGTAATGGCGGCATTAGCCAAGCATTGTTTGATCTCAACAGAAAACCTGAAATATTGAAGCATAGTGAGTTTAATCGATACGTTTTATGATTTTAAATTACATTACAATTGTTTTAGAGTTTATAAAAGACGAAAATAAAGACTTATCTATAGTTCGAAAAGTGTGTAGATCTATTTTTTAACTTTTCTTTTCTGTTTGGATTTTTACTAATTAAAAAATAAACTCAGTTCATTTCGTTTTTATCGTGTAAAATCTACACTTTTTTTTCGACCATTTCACTGCGTGTGATTGTGTTGCTAATAAGCCAAAATATAGTTTGGTGTGCAATATCCATTTTCATAACTTCTAGAAATTTCTACCAGAATATTTTTTCAAAACCCACGCTTTATATATTTATTGATCAGTTTTTGTCAAATGATTTAACATAAATACACCAACGGATATAACAAAAGTACTTGCACTAAATTATATATATATATATATATATATATATATATATATATATATATATATATATATATATATATATATATATATATACTTACACAAAAATATTAAATATATATTACTACACAATTATAAAAAAGACATACTTACAAAACATTATAAAAGATATACTTGCACTAAATCATAACATATATACTTATATACTAAAACACGTATTCTTGAACAAAATGACAAGCCGGATAGGATTACAAAAATGCTATAACAAATGTACTTACTGACAGGGGTCAGCACGACTTAGACTAAAACACGACGAAAAATCTGATTGCACCTGAGCCTCCTGGCCACTACCTCCCGCGCACTCCAGGAAACTAAAAGCACCTGAAATAGCAGCGAAGTGTACTTGTTATGTGATTCAATATTTGATACATTTCATGATTTACATTTTGATATAATCTATGACCAACTATGTGATTCAATATGGACTTATTGATTTTATTTGCTTTTTTAAATTAAATCTGTGACTTAAGATTGCTAAGGTTCAGAATATATTGTAAAAATCTGGCTATCCGCACTTTCAATAGCACACAACATCAAACAAAAACCAAACTACTTCAAGTTGAGGGTTAAAATCATTATTTTAAAACATCACAGTTCTAGTACTAGTCTACGTGTAGGCTTTTTTTCAATATAGGAGAATGAATCTCTATCTCCGCTTGTCACTCACTAGCAAATCGTTCTTCTGCGCAAAAGAATTCCAGGATGTTAGCTTGGATCAAGTACGGCTCCCAGACTGGTCCTCTAGGGCAGTTGTCTAGAACTTTAACGACACAGCCGGCGTTCCTGGAACAATAACTCACGATGTAAATAAATAGAACGGAGCTATTTAGAATTGATCAGCACTCACAAGCAAGGAATACTGGTTACCTACAAGTAACTAGGATTTAAAAACGATTCAACTATTTATATCTCCTAATACATACATTTTGGTTAGCCACACTTTGAACTGACGCTGACTATCTCAATATATATATCACTATCATATCTAACTCTATCAATATCTCGATCTCACTAATACGAAACTCTCGTTCAGGGACAATAAATACTAAAATACAAGAACTACCAATAACATCAACATACGTGCAAATTGATGCCCATATCGTCACTGAGTTCTGAAGTATGTAGCTAAAATCATTGAACTGTTGAACATCACTCCCAAATTGAGCCAGGCAGGCATCAGCGGCCGTGGTTTCTGGGCACGTGTCTGTTGGAGCAGGGAGAGACAAATAAGGCATCAATGAGCAAGCCAGAGACGGCTAGAGAGTCTTAATATATGAGGCTGTTGTAACAAGAAGAGGCGCTTTAATGTATCATGGTGCGAAGTTTACTTTAATGGTTCCAAAATATATAGCGATGAAGGAAGGAAGGACTGACGCACTACCAGCAGCGTTATATTATATACATTATATTATATACATATAGATTTTTACAAATGCAGACACACGCGTTAGCCGATAAAATCTCCAATTTTTATATATATATATATATATATATATATATATATATATATATATATATATATATATATATATATATATATATATATTCGTAAAAGAAATTTTCATTTTTCGGAGCAGCTTCCCAATCGTCAGATAAAAACGATATGGGGTAAATGTTACCCGCCTTTTAAAGTTTATGAGATATGGTCTACGCATTTTTTTACTTCCTCGTATATACGAAGTATAGAGAAAGTATTGTATTCGTGCAAACAAAATCGAGATTTTTACAAATCTCGACGTTTTACACCTCACTGATACGGAAAAACATAATTTTGCAATCTTGTCCGTATGTCTGTGTGTCTGTCTGTGCGTGTGTCTGTCCGTGTGTAAACACGATTACATGAGTACCGTTACAGCTAGGTTGATGAAATTATATATATAAGTATTTTATCAAAATTGTAGATCCGCATCAACTTTTGAGCGATTTCCAATAACCGGAAGTGGTACTTTTCCTACTTTGAGTTTTTCAAAAGCTTATAACTTGAGTAGTATTTCAGATAGATAAATGAAATTTCACATGTAAGTAAAAGATCTAATTCTCTACCTTCTGTTAAATTTTGAGTAATTTCCGTTGATTGCAAGTACTAATTTACGCTATTTCCGATTTATCAAAAAACTAATGTAAATTTTTAAAGTACTGATAATTGTGTGCACTATTATGCACTTTTTTATTTGGAGTTCACTTGGTGGGCAATTAATTTGTCTACGAGATGTTATTCTATTTTTAAAACTTTAAGTATTTAAAATGGATTAAAAATCATGTCTATAGCCCGAGTTCCCATCCCCTGTTATTTTATATAAGAATATTCGAGAAAGTTTTGGGGAGATCACTCCGGTTTTATTTAAGTTTTGCATTTCTATAATAAGGTGTTCATTTACGATCACCTTCTAGTCCTCAACGATGTCATTTAGAACGACTCCAGTTTTCCAAATTCGATGAAAAAACCATGCAAAAGATTTGCTGCTGACGAATTTGCCAACTATTATTATAAACATTCACTGTTTATCAAGAGAATATCAGCCTCTGTTTTGTTCTGAAGGGATTCGGGGCTGTCATTAGCTTTTTCCCTGAGGTTTCATTGAGTAACGACTTTCTCCGATATATAGGTTATATAACGTTATATATTTCACTCAGTCTTCACATTTTTATCAAATGTCCACACAATTGAAGGAGCCTCATCACGTGTAACCAGTGTTTATTCCAGACTTTTTTCTCCGGGGGGTGGGGGGCACTTGATATTTTCGGGGAGGGGGGTGGTGGTCAACATTTTCCGTGGGGGGGGGGTGGGGGTGGGGCGGACACTGGTAAAAGTATATGTTCTTTATATAGATTCCATGTCGTTCGGGGGGAGGTAGACTTTTTTTCAGGGGGCTCTGCTCCCCCCCCCCCCCCCGAAGATATGCCTGGAAGAAACTCTGCGTGTAACATCCACATGTAAGTGGCTAATTGGGTACAAGAGGTGAGGTGCACGATCTGACGTCATATCGTCTTCACCACTTAAAACCGCATTTCCCGCCATTGTGAGAGGTGTCACAGATATGCAACATCTGCATTATATCTGTATCTGCTACTGACGTCATTGTAGTGTAGGTATAGCCTGGAGCAGAGAGTACTATCTGGGGAGGGGATGATGGGGGTGGGTAGTCGCCCTACCCCTCAACGTTCAGACGAACAAAATAGAACATGTTTTATTTTGAAATTATATAATTTAGCCAGTGTCTCCCCTCCCCTGAAGTTTATCCCACCCCCCCCCCCCCCCATCCCACACACACGAAAGTTTCAATTGCCTCCCTCCCCGGAGAAGAATATCTAAAAGAAACATTGATGCCATTCAACCAGTTGCTCGTGTGCTACTATCTCGACTGCCATCCTGCGATAAAAAAACAGACTTTACAAAGATATCTGGGAATTTGTGTTTAAAATGACCCGCGTCTTTGTACAATTAAACGATATGCAATGTTTAACTTATCCTCTGAATAAATATCTGGCGAAGATCTCCCATATTTGTCAGACTCTATGTATTTCAAATTTGATGTCTGATCAGTCGTCCGTACACTCTTTGTGTGCAGGTTTCTAATGTCAATTATTGCGATATTGCATGCAGTTTATCAGGGGAGGAGGGGTGGTAGGGTTATGTGGTAGTGGCTAAGTGGCTGTGGTTGAGTGGTATGAATAGAGTGGTAATAGCCATGTGGTATATAAAAAACGTTTTTAGGAAAGCTATGCAGTGATATTAAAAATTTAGGCATTTTGCCAAGGGAGACAAAACATCTTTACAAACCCAAATTTTAGCGCCTGCTTACCCGGATTATTATGCTGGAATCTGCCCGGTGATGAAGTTTGTTCAAATAGGTTATGTCAACTTTAATATATTCTTCTTCTTTCTTCTTCGTTCTTAATTTTTTTTTTAGTGTTGGGAGGGATCGAGCCTTATTTGCCAGAGGGTATGAACTCGAGACTTTTTTCGAATTTATCAACCATGAGCTTTTGCCGACTCGACCATGCTTCCATCACAATTAAGGATTACGTGTCAACTGGTTATGCGCCATTGAGGCCATTGACTCCGAATTCAGCCTGCTTTTCTTATTTGCTTCCGTTGCCTTTGTCCAACCAACAAACTACAAGGCAGCAGTTCTTTGATTTTGGAGTTGTTTATCCTAGTAGAGTGGCTGTCCCAAGCTAACTAGCCTCATCTGCCCGAGGGTTCGAACTCGAGACTTTTCGGTTTAGCAACCATGAGCTTTACCGACCCCTACTTTAATATATCCTATGTGTCATCCTTGTATGACGTTCACGTGGGAAGGGGGATCCATTAAAAAGACTTTTGTGGACGGGTGCAAATTGGGAGGGGGGTGTGATCATTGTTAAATTGAACATCGACGCACTCACATTTAAAACGGATATAAAACGTGCATCCTGAATATAAGATGTAAAGTTATGACGTCAAACAAAAAAAATCCAACTCAACGGGCAAATAAATCACTTGATTTTTACCTATACTGGGGTCATCCAAGCCTTAAACGACGTCACGATTTCTAACGATTTTTACCTCCTCTTCCCTCTCTCACGTAACACATCAGCCTATAACACATCTCGAAATCGTTGTAAACATTGCGAGGGTGATGTCCCCGTTAACTTTCTCGTGTATTCTTATATAAAAGTCTAAGAAGGATAGCAATCCCAGGGCAGTCGTGCAATAGGAATGTATTTTTTTTTACTTTCTCGTGTACAGGGCATAGAGGATGTATTGTAATCGTGCTGAATTAATTATTACATATTTTGACGCCGTTTTACACCTCCCTACTTTATCATATAGGGAATAAAACGGATGGATTGTAATCGTGCAAAAAATCTAAATAGACATTTTGACAAACTTTGACCTTTTTACATCCTTCCGAAACGGAAAAAGTTGATTTTGCATTTGTCTGTAATGTCTGTAAACATGTATTTTTCAGTACCTTTTCAGTTATGTTGACGAAATTTCATATATAAGCATTATATCAAATTAGTAGTTACGTATCAATTTTCACACGATTTCCAATAACCGGAAAAGGTACATATTCTATTTCCGTTTTCTTAAATACCAATAACTAGAGCACCGTTTAAATTTGATAAATGTATTAAACAGTATGTACAGTATTCAATCAACTTTTGTTCGATTTTTGGCAACCGCATGTGATACTTTACACTATTACTATGTGAACACTTTAACATTTGTACTGTTTCAGTTAGGTAAAATAAATTTCACCTATAGGTATTGGATCTTATGCTTAAATTATTTAAAATTTTAGAGTGGTCTCCGATAACCGGAAGTGGTATTTTACTTTCGTTCCGGTTTCTAAAAGTTCCCCTTTTGGTTATCGGAAACCGCTGAAAAGTTGATACAGAACTACAAATTAGATATAATATTTATATATAAAATTTCATCAACCTAGCTTTAACGGTATTCACAGTGAGAGACATACGGACAAAATTGCAAAACTATGTTTTTTTCCGACTCAGGGAGGTGTAAAAGCTCGAGATTTGTGAAAATCTCGATTTCGATTTTGTGTACGATTATAATACTTCCTCTATACTTCGTATACGAGAAAGTAAAATATGTGAACAATATAGCCTATTTTGCAGAACTTTTTTAGTTTGAATGGAAAAATTAATAAAATTAATAATAAGTTTCGTTGAAGTTAAAAACAGAGCCTACTTGATCTACTTATTTTCACAACATCCTGTAGATTCTAGCTTTTCTTTTTAGGCCTAATAATAATCACTCTCAAAAAGATTGAATTCATATATAAATAATAATTGAAATAGTTAATTATGTTTTAGCTCTAGTAAACTTATGTTGCCGGGAGGAGGAGGGTTTTTTGGTATAAGACACGAGTGGGAGGGTCGAAAATTTAATTTTCGATGACGTCATAAATAAATGACCCCATATATCACAACAATAATAACACAACTGTTATTAATTAATTAACTAAGTAGATTACCTGATTTAGCTTGATGAAAAACGCAGAATAGAAATACGATTAAAACGAAAATCCGCATCTTAAAATTTGCTGTCTTGAACTCTGTCTCTATCAATATCTTCTGGCAAATCGTTAGACTTTGGTTAGAGAAAACAATTTGAATAATAAAATGCTTTTTTACTGCCTTCAGTCATGCGTTAATATTTCAATAGCCCTGTTGCAGTTGTATGGACACGCTCGGGTGAATTCAACAGTGGCGGATAGGTTGTACATGATGGAGAAGGTGGACAGGATAGGTGGTACAGGAGATATATATATATATATATATATATATATATATATATATATATATATATATATATATATATATATATATATATATATTTATATATATATATATATATATATATATATATATATATATATATATATATATATATAGTTATTTATTTATAGTTCCCAGAACAAAACTTATCTGATAATTTTAATTTATAGGGTGGGGGGGGGAGTTATAACTAAAGGTTTCAGTTGGATAATATGTATGTAATTAGCGATGTCACATAGGTAGGTGCAGCTAGTCTTGTCACATAGGTGTACAGTTAATTTGTCACAAGTGTAGATATGGTAAGTGTTCAGACGCTGACCACCTCCCCTATTTAGACGCCGACCCCCGCCCCTATTTAGACGCCGACCCCCTCCCCTATTTAGACGCCGACCCCCGCCCCTATTTAGACGCCGACCCCCTCCCCTATTTAGACGCCGACCCCCTCCCCTATTTAGACGCCGACCCCCTACCCTCAAACTATTCTCTAAGGAATGTGTTTAAAATTAAATTTGAACATTCTCATACGCAACCTGAAACACATTCGGAGTTCAGAAAAGGCATCGTTTTATTACTACACTTAAGATTTGTTTTTAACAAGACCTGGTTTTTGAGTTGGATCCATGAGCCGAGTGTAGCACTTTAGTTCACGCCCCCCCCCCTCCTCCATAAAACCCCGTTAAGTAGTTTCTGCTTTGTTGTACCCCAGTCATGCGGAAAACTAAATGTAGGGTGAGGAGCAGGGGTATCCACGGTTGATGATGTGGGATTGGGGTGTATGGGGGTTCTGTTGATGGCAGGAGGGTGACTTGTGGAAGGGAAGTAAGCCATCAGTGACTTAGGGGGTGGGGGATGTCTAGCTGTCAATGTTTTCGGGATAAGTTTAGGGTTGTTTGAGCTAAGAAATGCAGGTCACGAGACAAAATATTAATGTTCGCAATGAAATCAGTTGTTCTAAAAGTGTGACATCCCCCTACTAACAACTTCAGCAAAATTGGACAGTAGAGCGTTGGAGTAGCTTTAAAAATCGCAAAAAATGTCGTCATCTTATTATACAGTTTTTTGTCTACTTTGAACATGTGCAGACATGCAGTTTTCAACACCATGCGCTCACACCAAACAGACTCTGTGCTTTTAACCTGTTGACAGGATGTGGGATGATCGAATCAGTGGACCGTGTCTGAAACCCAAGAACAAGTCATGCATTAAATTCTCCGAGGCGCATAAAGCCCAATAGAATACAGTGAAGCATGCTTTTTAGCACCAGTAAGAATCTATATACTCTTAATTTTGACCCACGTATTATGCAAATATTTCGGTCTTTCTAGATATATTCTTCTCCGAAAATATACTTTACTTAAACTGACTGGACTGCAGTAATAGGCGTAAAATGCAGGAAAAAATATATATATTTATAATAATAAGCAATGAAGTTAGCAATATTAAAATAAACATGTTTATTCAGTGAAAACATCGGTTCTTCATTTTCGCGACCATTGCTTTAACTTAGTTTATTTAATGTAATTTTTTTTTTGTAATTCGTTGTTATTAGTGCATTAAAATTTTTACTTCTTTTTATTACGAAGTTTTACTTTAATACTTGTTGTATTTATATTTACTTTGCTAATATACCAGTGTTTATTTCTTTTTACATCGACGGTTTATTTTAATACTTGTTTTATTTTTATATATACTTTGCTAATATAGCCTACCATCCGGGTAAACATATTGAGTCGTCATGAATAAAATAAAAGACGTGAAACTAGTTCGATGGCTGAGCTGATTTCATGCGAAATGTTCTGCTGATTACAATAAAACCCAATATTATAACATCATTGAGCTTGTACTTATTTTGTAATAGAAATTATATGATTTCAGTTTTTAAGCCGAACAGGTTTTTTCTTGATTTGATGTCTAGAAATATCAATTTTCAAAATACAGAAAAACCTGATATCCTGCATTATCAACATAATGTGTCGTTCAAAACCAGTTTCAACATTGAAGCGTGTTATGATAGATTATAAATATCTATCAAGGTGTCTCCACCTCTCCCCCCTTCTTGCTACCCCACGGGTAACGGTACACACATGGACCTGAGTCCAGCGGTATCGTAAGGCTGACCGGGCCTCGACCTCAGACTGCGGTCACGAGGGCGGAGCCTAAGTCATGTGACCTGTAGGGTAGGGACGCTACAGTCCGGTCAATCTACCTTCTCCCCTCTTCGGAGGTACACGTTTTTTTGGTGCTAAGGCACTAGCCAACATAACATATTATACATATTTTGGTGCTACAGCACTTGTTCTCCTCGGAGAAATTAAACGTACGTTTGGCAACGTGTGTAGAGGACTGTGTGGCTTCTTTGGAAGGTAATTAACACTTACTTTTATTAGCTGTAATGTTATAATATTAATTAATAAGTATGGAATGAGTATAAAACAATGTATGAATGAAAAGCATATTTTCTAGTAATGTTTATTGTAGGCCTTATTGAAGGCTAATGTAAATGTATTATCTTGGTAACAATTGTAAACTTGTATGTGTCTGAATGAATGTGTATATCACACATATGTTAGGAAGTTGTCACATGTATTTTACAGCCGGCCAGCTTGGGGCTAAAACTTAGACAGTACTGAGGTCTGTGTGTGAGCAAGTGTGACCACGCCGCCCTGAAGACCAGTCGCCCATTCCAGGCTACTCTAAGTTGTATCTTATGCCAATAATTCATGTATTAAAAGTTAAATAATTGTGAAACTGAGTTAATTACTTAGTCATAATTTTAAACCTTTTCACTGAGCCAAATATCGGCAGTCAGTCAATAATAATAACATAACATTAATAAACGCAATATTAACTATTAAGGGACCTCATGTCCAAGAAGACAAACCCTAGACCAAGCAAGTCATTCTGTAGCTGCGGCTATAACTATTTATGTGCGGTATGACTAGCTGGAGCATATTTGCCACAAATCGGGCTGGTTGGTTCATGACATAGCTAGAAATGCTGTCAGGCTTTGCATCGGATTAATTATGTTTTCTAAAGCATTGTGGTCTAACATGTTATGAATTGCGTGAACATATAAGGCTATGTGCCTTGTGTTGATTTCGGAAATAATCATTTCTAAAAGCTGTGTAGTAGTCACGAACTCCAAAGTTTTAATATTGGGAGTTCTATGACATTCTAAGAGTTCTAAGATTTGTATATAGTCTTTCATGTTCTTGGTTAAAAGCTATCAGAGCCTGTAGAGCTCATACTTAAACTGAATAGAGTCTGTATTATGCGGGCATTTCGTTAAGTGTGGGTAAATGCTGGTTTATAAAAAAAAGGCTTGCATGTCAAATGTCACATGATTTTTTTTCTCAACTGAACCTTAAATAATATCTTTACGGTCTACGGCGTTTACTGTACTGCCAGTATTCAATCTGCTTGCGGAGCAGGAGAAGGGAGGGTGGAGTCGATGATAGACATTTTGAAACTGTTGTCAAGTGTACATGCTGATAAAACAAGTTTTTTATAAATGAAGGTCCCAAAGAGACCATTGATGTAGAAAACCGTTAAATCAGTGTGTGAAGACTTCTAGCAGCTTACTTTCTTAACTTTGACCGTGTATAATTGAATAGCATAGTTTAAATTGAGCATTTTAAAAATTGTATTGTACTACTTTTGGCGCCCCCTTAGGGTCGGCGCCCGGGACGACCGCCCTTTCCGCCCTCCCCTAGCTTCGCCTCTGATAAGTATACCAATGGCGCTCTTGACGCGTACGGCCAAATTAAGTTGCTGTCTCCAGTCATGCAGATCGCTGAATGTGAGGTAAAGGGGATTGGGGTCAAAGGTTGGTAGCGGGGGACGGGTAGTGTGCGATGTCTTTGAACCATTACGGTGAAATGGTACCAAGGTATGCTGTCCGGTAACTGGTTTGTTTTATTTAAGTCCGACATTTATAGAGGTTGAACAAAAATCTCTGAATCTAAATTAGTGGTTCTAAAATTTGTAAAATGTCAATCACTCACAGACTATGTGAAGGAAAACAACGTGTTAAAATAAATAAAAAGATTTAGATTTTTTTCTGAACTTTTTAGTTTCAAAACCCTGATTTAAATTGATTTCACAGGGTTTTTTTTCCCATCAAATCACAAAAGATTTTTTTAAAATACAATTTCATTTTTATGTAACTTAAGTAAATGTTTAATTAAGCCACCATCGGAACTTTCAAACTTCTTGTTTTGAAAGTTTTAAATTGCTTTTTTTTTTACATCTGTACAACTAAAACTATAAGCCAAGAAATGTGATTTGGTTAGTTTAAAAACTGAAAATATAAACTGATAGCGGTTGTCTTTGCTCTAGTTTGAAAACTGGATTAATTGAGACGAATGTTGACATAATGTTGCCATAGTCTTAGCTAATGCTGACGTGATATTGACGCAAAGTTGACTGCTGTTGATCTAATGTTGACATAATGTTCTTGTAGTGTTGACGTTGTGTTGGAGTAATGTTGATGTAATGTTGACTGCTGTTGATGTAATGTTGACTGCTGTTGATGTAATGTTGACATAATGTTGCTGTTGTGTTGACGTTGTGTTGGCGTAATGTTCAATACTGTTGACGTAATGTTGTCTGCTGTTGATGTAATGTTGATGTAATGCTTGTGCAATGTTGACAATGTGAGAATAGCACTTACATCTGCTATCAAACGGCACGGATGTAAGACGCCTCAGTTCCTCGACCTGTTGACTAGCATTTCCACTTATTTCAGTAGACCGTGTCTGATAGAATGTCAAGATTGTGCGACAGATTCACTGAGGCGTGTGAATCCGAACTGAAGTCAGCCAACTTGCCGTCTTACACCACTGAAGAAAGTTGTTAGATAAAAAGATCGAATCTAGCGCATTGAATCTAATTTAAAAGCACTAGTTCGTCCGACATTCTTGTAAGACATCCGGGATCGAGACAGTGGGTTACCCACCCAACCCTTTTCCCTCCACCCCCTCCCACTTATATAAACCAGGGGGGGGGGGTAGTGTCCCTTCCACTATTGTCACATATATAAAATAAATGACGTAGTTTTTACAAAGGGATGAACCCCTTCAACCCCTAGTTGTGTGTTGTCATTTATGGATGACCCTTAATGTATTATCTTTGATCATAAGAGAGGAAGGTTTTCTGATTTATTTATTTATTTTTGTTTGCTCATAAATTGGGTATTAAATTTAGTGTTAATATCACATAGCGTCATGTCTTAGTTCATCTCATTATAATTAGGATCATTGAATACAAAATTGTAATGCCTTTAAAGGTATAATTTTGAATTTTAAATGTTTCATTACAACATGTTTTGGATTTATTACAGAAATAATAGGTACATATTTTTTAAAAAATTTTTTTAATAGAGAAGTTATAAATTTCGCAAGCGTATTTTTATAGTTACATTTAGAATTCAGCTGAGTGCTAGAAATTAGGTTGCACTTACTAGGTAAGCTTCAACGCATGCACTCTCAACAGAGAGAAAAAAATCCTACCCCAAACACAAAAAGGGGCGTGGTTTTGTCGTAATGAGTTTTGTGAATTCTTATTATAAGAATAATTATGAGATATTTTATATATAGCCATATGTGTTAGCATACGGAGCTAATTTTTCTTGCATGCTAAAATAAATATTAAATCTTAAATTTAAATTAAGCTTAAGTTCTTAACGTATCTAAATAGTTCGGTGGTGCATATTAAAACTACATGAAATATTGGGTTTGGTTTTAACAAACTTGTTTAATTAAGAAAAGAATACAATAAAACATCTTATTCACACTCATGTATGCACATATAGTAATTGAAAAAAAACTAAAGAAGACTTGAAAAACTTTTAATTTATTCCTTATTTTAAAAAAATATTTAATTTCAGCTGTTTACTGAATGTAATCAAAGTTCTAAAATATTTGACTTAAACTTAATTTAGTCAAAATAAACAATGTTCTAAAAGTGAAACAAACAAGCACACTATATGTGGGACGTGTATGTGTAAATTAAAAACAGCTTGTTTTTTAAAGCGGGAAGAAATATACCGTAAGACATCTAAATCTAGGGCAGACTTGTCAAACTTTTAATTTATACTTTATTCATATTTTTTTTATTTCACCTATTTATTTTCTGAATGTAATCAAAATGTAGACTGGAGTTTCTTTTAGTAGTAAAACAATGATCTAGAAGTAAAACGGCTGTATATGTGATACGTGTATGAGAATATAGAAAGTGATTGTAATTGTATATAGGAAATCTCGCCGCTTCTTTATTTACACCTATTAGTGGTGCCCACGCCAAATCCACCATCCATCTCCCATCATGCTCAGCTCCTGCACCAGGTTTCTGGTGTTAAAGGTTTTCTAATTATATTTTTTTCTTAGATCTATTATATTGTGTAATAAATTTAATGCGTAAGTGTTTTTGACATTTTTTTAATGGATAAAAATTAGAATTTTAGAATGTTATTATTATAATATAATTTTTTGGCAATCGGGATTCATAATTGACGGTTAAAGGGAAACAACTGCAATAATCTAAAGATAATCAAAATTTATTTGGTTATTCCTCTTTGACCACAAAATTAAACAAACGATTAATGGGAGACAACTGCAATAATCTTTAAATAAATCAAAATTAGTTTGGTTATTTTCCTTTGACCATTAGAGTAATAAACACGGTCAAAGAAAGACAACTGCAATAATATGTTAAAAAATTGGTTATTCCTCTTTGACCGTACAATACCAAGAGCTTTATTTTTCTCTTCAAAACACACGACGTTAGCACATTACAACAGGATCAATTAGGTAGAACAACTACAGATGTTTTAATTAAATTTTATATATTAAAATGTAGCTTATCTGTTTTTAGATGTATCGAAACCAATTTGAAATTGCACATATTTTATATTAATAAGAATTAACAATAAAAATGTATGTGAATTAATTTGGTAGGGTTAAAAGAGTGTAGAGTAACACTGACTCGAACCCACTCCCTACAAACCGTCACGAACCGTCACAAACGTTCAAACCCCGTTAACTCCTAGCTGTGTGTTGCAGTGGCGGAACTAGAAAAAAAGGGCCACCCCGCAAAAAAAAATTTTTGGCCCCATAAATTTATATATATATATATATATATATATATATATATATATATATATATATATATATATATATATATATATATATATATATATATATATATATATATATATATAAACTAAATACGAAAATATCAACATAGAATACTCAATACGGGCTTGTTCGAAATTTAAAAAAAAATAAAATTCTTAGTTTTTATTTTTAATTAAAACATATTGCAAAACACATAATTTGTGAGAGTGCTATTAGTCTGTTTTGAAATTCTCTGTTTCAATGTCTGACACGGTGCTATATTATATACAAGGCTGTCAAAATATTATGAAGCATGAAAGCTTTGTATGTGTAATGGTTTCTCGCCTTATGTTTATTTTTAAGTTTTTTTGTATTTTTATTATTAGGTTTTTAATACATTTCTTTTTATACTATGTCATTCTTTATTGTGTAATTTAAAAAAATAAATAATTGAGAGAAGTAATTGCTCTTTAATTTGTTTAGTGCAAAAAAAAAGTTTCTTAATTAAGAGCACACATATTTGACTATTTAAAGAAGGGAAATAAGTCATGGAAGTGATGTGAACGTTTGCCTATCTTTCACACTACAACTCATGTAGCTATATGTGTTTTTCCTTTATGAAACAGCGATGCTAGTTACTGTAGAACATCATTACTGTAGTAGATCTGTTTGTTTGTTTTTTTGGGAAAAAAATATTTTTTTAACTATAAAAAAGTTGATTCTGGTCGGCTTTGGGCCCCTAAATGGCCTGGGCCCCCCCCCCCCCGCATTGCGGGGTCTGGCGGCACTGTAGTTCCGCCCCTGGTGTGTTGTCATTTATGGTTGACCCCTAATTCATTATCTTTGATCATAAGAGATAAAGATTTTCTGTTTTATTTTTTTATTTTTTTTTGCCAGTAGATTGGGTATTAAATTCTGTGTATATATCACATAGATTTTAGTAGAGAATTTATAAATTTCGCAAGTATATTTTTGAAGTAACATTTTTCAACCAGTTGAGGGCTAGAAATTAGGTAGCATCTACTAAAATAAAAACAAGTCTTAAATTTTAATGTGCAATGAACTCCTAACGTATTTAAATAGTTTGAATGTGTAAAGTAAAACTACATGAAATATTTGGTTTCGATTTAACAAAGCTCGTTTTAATTAATAAAAGAAGGATACCGTATAAATTCTTATTTAAAGTCATGTATTCGCACAGTTATTGAAAAAAACTAAATCAGACTTTCAAAACTTTTAATTTATACTTTATTAAAATTCCTTATATAATTTCAGCTGTTTTCACTGGATTTTTTACCTACATTTCATTTAGTCGAAATATACAATGTTCAAGTAGTAAAAACGAATAAGTACGAATAAGTACGAATAAGTATAATATATGTTAGTCGTGTTTGTAGGATACTTGCCATTAAGTTCAGATTTCAGCCAACAAGTAGATTGAAAAACAGCTTGTTTTAAGAAGATACCGTATGACATATAAATATAAGGCAGACTTGTGAAACTTTCAATTAATACTTTATTCATATTTTTTATTTCATTTCAGCTGCTTTTCTGAATGTTATCTTAATTCCAAAATATCAGACTTTATTTTTTTTTAGTAGTAAAAACAATGTCCTATAAGTGAAACTGCCCTATATGTGAGACATCTACAAGATAGGAATATAGAAAGTGATTATAATTGTACAAAGAAAATCTCGCCGCTTCATCAATTTGGTCTTATTTACACCTATTAGTGGTGTCCACGCCAAATCCACCATCCATTTCCCATCCTGCTCTGCTCCTGCACCATGTTTCTGGTGTTACAGCGGTCACCAGTACAAAAGCACGTGACTCCCTTCTTGTGAGTCAGGCAGCCATTGGCTGGGATACGTAGACCTGGGAATTTGCCGTCTGAACATCCACGTACCACATCTTCAAAGGTAAAATTTAAAACACCTATTAGGAAAATGTCAAACTTAATGTCCCATTTCAGAATATAGATTAATTTGTAACATAGCATCACAGTTTGTCAAAAATAAGACAAAATGTGAAGACGCTCCATAATGTACCGCTTTTAAATATGTAACATATCCACTCACCGCCACCAAAAGGTGTTTTGTTGACAGTAGACATGCAGGGTCCCTTACACCTGGCAAAACGTGTGTTGGTCCCAGTCTTTATTTTCCCATTGGCAGGACACAGGTAGTTCTGTTTCTTGCTGCTGCAGCCGCTGGTACAGCTGTGGCAGTCGTAGTAGCGCTGGGCTGGGGCTCGTGTGGTTTTTGTAGTGATGGTGGTAGTCGTTGTAGCTGTCGTTGTTGTTTCATCTAGAAATATGTAACGCAATTTTCTTATCAATTTAGAAAAATAGAATATATATATATATATATATATATATATATATATATATATATATATATATATATATATATATATATATATATATATATATAAATGAAAGTATATATGGCTGTATGTGTGACTTTTATGCATTACTACTCTTTTCATCTGAGTGCCATGAAACTTTGGAGAATTAATGAGAATACTCCCGCGGTGTTTTCTGCGAAAAAAAATATTTCTTAATTGCCGTGGCCGGGAAGGTGTGATTTTCGTCTCGATTTGGCGCTCAGTGTTTCAGAAACGCTATCGTAGCCTTGGTTTCCGTTAATCGAGCGTCCTGCATAGCGTGAAATGGGTACTCATATAATCAGCGGTAAAACTGCAACAGACGCAAACACCGGCGACACGGTGAATGTGTGTCCCAAAATGCCCTGGGATTGATCTCCCCTAAACTTTCTCGAATATTCTTATATGAAACAACAGGAGATGGCAACTCGGGATATAGACATGATTTTTAATCCATTTTAAATACTTAAACTTTTTAAAATAGAAAAGAATCTCATAGAAAAAAGAATTGCACACCAAGTGCAGAATATTATTAGTACTTTATAAATTAACATGCGTTTTTCGAGAAATCGGAAATAGCGAAAATTACTACTTCCGGTCAACAGAAATTACTCAAAAAAATTTGATAAAAGGCAGAGACTTCGATCTTTTACCTACATGTGGAACTTCATTTATCTATCTGATAAAATTTCATAAGTATTTTATCAAGTTTTGAGTGATTTCCAATAACCGGAAGTGGTACTTTTTCTACTTTGAATTTTTCAAAAGCCTATAACTTAAGTACTATTTCAGATAGATAAATGAAATTTAACATGTAAGTAACAGATCTAATTTTCTACCTTTTGTCAAATTTTGAGTAACTTCCGTTGACCGGAAGTACTAATTTAAGCTATTTCCGATTTCTCAAAAAAACGCATGTAAATTTATAGAGTACTAATAATATTGCGCACTATTATGCACATTTTGTTTTGACGTTCACTTGTTGCGCAATTCTTTTTTTCTACGAGATTCCATTCTATTTTTAAAAGTTTAAGTAATTAAAAATCATGTTTATATTCCGAGTTATATAAGAATATTCGAGAAAGTTGAGGGGAGATCACTCCCGGTTTATTGAAAATAATGTTTTTGAAATTTAGAATGAATCTATAGGTTTCGAACTATATATGAAACAAATTGGACGTAATATGTTTTTTAAGGTAGATATTATTTATGTAAATTATCTATTCTGGTCACGCGTACTAGTGTGTTTACATTTTTTCAGAATTTGGTTTTTTTTTACATTTTTTGTCGGGTAATAAATTAATGTCAATTTTGTTATTTGTTCTTTTTAATTAAAATGTTTAATTGAATGAAACAAAATAATATAAAAGCATTTACAGTAATACTTTTTTAAATGCACTGAAATTTAATAAACGCTTGGGTCACTAAAATATGTAAGACATCTCATAAGCGACCAAAGATTTTATTAAAGAGAACAAGTTTGCTATCTTTTCTTTTTTTTCGGTGCATTTCAAACATAATTTTCATTAATGTTTTTTTTTTCTTCTACTTTTAGTCATTCGTTCAAAATGAAGTTGACACTAGACAGTCTAAACTAAAAATGTTCGCGTTAAAACCCGACCAGTAGCTTGCATTTTCCAGAAAAAAAAAACACAGCTGTCTGCGACTTCTTGGATTATAGTCGACTCTCAGGCAGGATATCAGTTGACGAAACAGATCACCGCCAACGGATTATTGATTATAGTATTTTTTTAAAATAAATTTAAATGACTAGCCAAATGTCTAATGAGGTTAAAAAAATAAATAGTTTTTTTACTGTATTCAAGTCTTACACAAACACACATACATTTACAAAACAAAGCCACATACAAATACAATTCATTATTTTCATCTTTGAAAAATTGCTACAATTCTATTGTACGTATGTTTCTTTTGTAGTAATATTTCTATTGCAGCTATTTTTCACTGTAGTTCTATTTCTATTGTGGTTATATTTCTAATGTAGTTATTTTCTCTAGCAGTTGTATTATTACTATAATTATTTTTCCACTACAGTTGTATTTCAATTGTATTCATTTTTCTACTGCATTTATATTTCTATTGTAGTCATTATTCTACTGCAGTTGTATTTTGTATTGTAGTTATTTGTCTTCTGTTATTGTATTGTCTTTGTTTCATTTTTCTACGTCAGTTATATTTCTATTGTAGTTAATTTTCTACTGCAATTGTATTTCCATTGTAGTTACTTTTAACTGCAGTTGTGTTACTTTTGTAGCAATTTTTCTACTGCATTTGTATTTCTGTTCTATGTATGCTCACCACATGCTTCACAGTACACATACGCCTGGCTGTTGACGGTGCTGGTTACAACGTCTCCATCTGCTACATTATTTTCACATATACCCTCCTCACCATCAAAACTAACCATGAAACATCGGGGATTGACAAAGCACGCCTTGAAACAACCCTGAAATACGTTTATATAAAGTGTAATTAAAACTACACATGAAGTCCCTAAAACGCAAAAAAAGAAAAGTGGATGCGAATCGACCAAATTCAATTTTTTTAAAATACAATTTCTCTGCCTTTGAAATAATGCTTCTCCTAAACCAGAGACTGTGTTACATTTCTTCGCTGCAGTGTAAAAAACGTTCAAAAAGTACTCTTTGAATAACATAAAAGAAGAAAACACAAATAAAGTGCGACACTAACAATTTATCACACAAAAAAAAACATAAAATACAACACAAAATATACACACAACACAAGCAAAACCAAAAAGACATCAAGAAACGCGGCGGCTTCCCATGCCCCCCCCACACCCCCTGCATACACTATTGACCTTAACATAGCATCTTCTGACTTTTTTCCAGGCCTTCATTAATATCTATACTAATAGTTTCTCTGTCTGTGTATGTAGTATGTATCTGACAAGAACGCTATAAAGAAAACACAAGCAAAATAAAAACTTTCATAGTGAAACGAAAACAAAACATGACGTCACATTGAGCATATAGTAGGAAATAGTCGAAAGCCGGGAGAGTGCACACACAGTAATATGACGTCATTGATTCTCGAGTAAACATTGAATTAAAAAACATGTCTTTCTAATCTTAAATTGCTTTGCGTGCAGAGTTTCTTTCATACATTTCTTCGGGTAAAGATGCGAAGCCCCACCCCCGCGTAAGAACGTCTAAGCCCCCCCCCCCCCAACTCAAAAGAAATGTCAACGATACTCTATAATAAAATTACAGCCTAATTCATGTGTCTAATCTAAAAAGTGGTTTGCTTGCATAGTTTCTTTCATGTATCGTCTTCCCCCGACCCGGACAAATTTATTCGCCGCTGCTCAAAATTCAAGTGCCCCACCCCCGGAAAAAAAGCCTGACAAGTACACGTCTGAGTGAGTAAAGTTATCGGCCAAAAGTAGGAAATAGGTCTATAGTATAGAAGTAGGCTTAACCTTTAGTTTGTATGAGCTACAAATGCGACCAGCGTTTTTTATACATTTTATGGAAGGTAAAAATATGTTTTCTATAAAAGGTATATTTAGTTGAATGAGACGGTAGACGTGCATTAGGGTGTGTGGTTGGGGGGGGGGGCTACGCGGGGCGGAGTAAGCATTGAATTAAAAAACCAATTTTGTCTAATCTTGAAAGTGGTTTGCGTGCAGAGTTTCTTTCATGCAATTGTTCGGGTAAGGGACAAAAATTCAAGTGCCCACCCCCAGAAAAATATCTGATAGAAACACTGTCTGCGAGAGTGAGGTTTATCGGCCAAAAGTAGGAATCGATGTCTAAATTACAAAAGTAGGCTCTACCTTCAGTTTGTATGATCTACAAATACGACAAGTGTTTCTTTCAGACTTTTCCCTCCCCGGAGAGGGGTGGGGGAACTTGAAATGTTCTAAAAAGTGTTTTGCGTGCACAGTTTCTTTCATGCATCTCTTCCGGTAGGGGCGAAGCCGCTCTTAAGCTCTAACTTTACTTTGTATGATCAACAAATGCTACCAGTGTTTCTTTCAGACATTTTCCTCCCCGGAGAGAGGTGGGGGTGCTTGAAATTTTCGGGGGCGGGGTGAAATTTTCGGTGAGGGGACGGACTGGAAAAAGTATATAAGTATATATCGCTAAAAGGGACGTTAGAGATGCTTTGGTGTGGGGGGGGGGGGGCTGTGCGGAGCCCCTTCCTCCCAAGTAGTTGCCTGAAAGAAACTCTAAATGCGACCTTTATCATGATTGAGATTAGGTGCATGGTTTAGAGGTATGGCTACGACTATATTATATATATTTAGTATAGTTGGTATAAATGCGTGATAGCTACGTGTAGATCAAGCTTAAATGCGATAAAAATGACGATTCTGGATATGAATCCGTTTTCAATATCATTTTTCGTTTCCGGTTAAATTTAATTAAGGTGGTGATTTTGGTTTTGGTTTTAGTTTAGAGAAAAGAGACAGCACTATCAACCTAGCGCCCGTTGTATCCTTCCTCAACGGGCCAATTTTCGCGTACAAAAGAATTAGACTCTAAATTAATACGTTTTCTATATGAACGAAGTTTATTTTTTCAAAAATTAACTTGACGTAATTGGAGAATAGGGGCCTATACAATAACATTTTAGAATGGATAGTTACCAGAGTAGTTGTTTCGTTTACGTTAACTGTCTTCCATGATTGTAATGCTTTACATTGCTTAGCTGTTGGTTGACAATGAAAAACAAATAATTATTAGTAAATATTTCAAGTAATATTTAAGAAAAAAAAGGAAAAACAGAAAAGCCGTTAAGCTAACATTGAACCTAACGGGCTAGGACTAGGGCTAGGGCTAGGGCTAGGGCTAGGGCTAGGGCTAGGGCTAGGGCTAGGGCTAGGGCTAGGGCTAGGGCTAGGGCTAGGGCTAGGGCTAGGGCTAGGGCTAGGGCTAGGGCTAGGGCTAGGGCTAGGGCTAGGGCTAGGGCTAGGGCTAGGGCTAGGGCTAGGGCTAGGGCTAGGGCTAGGGCTAGGGCTAGGGCTAGGTCGAAGGCAAGGCAGTCTAGATCTAGGGTTCTGGAGGAAATGCTTTTATTTTAAATCTCGCCTGTTTCTCTTGGTGCTGAGGCAAAGTATGATATACAAAAATGTGTACTTCGTCGATCAATGGCAGATATTCTATAGAACTATAGAAAGGGGACAATTAATATTGGGGATATATCGACTCAAAAGCAATCGCATAAAGTTAACCATCAAACGCAAAGCTATATTAAACAAATGAAGTACTATAAGCGATGAAAACGTGGGGCGCCGAAGTAAAAGCTTGTTATCGGTCACTGATGTAAAAGTTATATTACTATTGATTAGATAATACTATTGAGTTTTATTAGGGAGTTTGTAGAGAGTCAACAGTATTAGAAACTGTAAGAAACTCACGGCGCCCCACGTTTTTCATCGCTTATAATAGAGTGATCGCTTGTATTATTGTGATGTATAGCATTTATTTTCTACTTTTTAGTTCAATCAGAAAACGTGGGTTTTTTTTTTTAAATTAATATTAATTCAATTAAAAGCTTCTATTAATACCTAATTTACTCAAAAAATATATAATGCAAATTAATTTTACATTTGAATAAATATTAAGTACAGTTTACTTGGTAAAAGCTTTGATTTGTATGAAATAAATTTTTAAATATTGTTGAATGCTAAGTAGCAATATCCCTTATCACATAAATATGCTTAGTGTGCCTGTGGTTAGTAATAAAATACGATCTAGACGAATCCATCTAAACATACAAATACATTTGAAAGTTTCTTTTGTTTTTCAGTATCTACTCTTGCTGAAAACTTACTACATCTGCAGTGGACATATGCCCACGCCCCAAGGGTAGTTGAACCATGGGGTGTTTCGTCAGAAACTTGGTTAGTGCACCCTCCAGAGTATTGGTAAGTATGACATTTTGGGTTAGACGCGCACATTTCAAAGCATTCCTGTAATTAAGAACACATTAAACCAAACTATTGACACATTTATGTGATCAACGTAGTAAAAACTAAAACATCATTCTAATCCATCCCATAATTAATAATTTACTTTAAGCGACCTTGTTGTGGAATATTTTATGTTGCAATTTACATTTAGTATTTCAGTAGCTTAAAGTGGTTATAGATTCACCTTGTGAGTTAATAATTACCTGTTCAGATTTTACACCAGGATATATGTCTTTTAATCCATTTGAAGCTGGGCAATCTAGCTCTGTAAATCCATATAAATTATATATATATATATATATATATATATATATATATATATATATATATATATATATACCAAAGTAAGAGATACTTGATATATGAAAGAAAAATGGGATATGTTCGACTATCCGGCTGTCTGAAAATCACACCGGAATTAGAATGAATACTTAGTTGTAAGTTTAAGAGGGTATTTTTTTTACTCTGAAACTTATACGTTATGCGTGCGGCGTCAAAACGACAAATGACAAAACGGACCCGTCAATACGACCCCGACTAATCGGCCCCGACATAAGAGCCCCGTCACATCGACCCCGTCAAAAGGGCCATCGACACATGGATCCCGTCATATAGGCTGCTGACAAATAGGCTTCCGTCATATATACTCCCGACAAAAGGGCTCCAGTCAATAAGGTTCCTGACATTTAGGCTCCCGTCATTTAGTTTTTTGACAAAACGGCCCCCGTCATTACGACTCCCGTAAAATAGGCTCCCGTCATTTAGTTTCCCGACAAAACGGCCCCCGTCATTACGACTCCCAACAAATAGGCTCCCGTCATTTTGGCTCACAGAAGCTCTTTTGTCAGTAGCCAATATGTCGTGAGCCCTTATATCGGGAGCTAATATGTCGGGAGCCGCTTTGTCAAGAGCCAATATGTCCTGAGCCTATTTGTCGGGAGCCAACATGTCGGGAGTCCATTTGTCGGGAGCCTAAATGTCGGGAACCCATTTGTTGGGAGCTAATAAGTCGGGGCCCTTTTGACGGGGCTATATTAACAGGGTCGTTTTGTCGGGGGTCGATTTGACGGGGTCATATTAACGGGGCCGTTTTGACAGGGCCGATTTGTCTCGGGCTGTTTCGACAGGACACCGTTTAAAACACGTCAAATAGTTTTTTTACCTGCTAAAGAAAAAAAATCCTGATCATTTGTGTAACTTTAGCGAATGACGCTATCTGCATCATTGTTAACAGGATGCTATTTGGCACGATGGCGCCTGTTAGTTTTAAGGACCCAGGGGCCATACGTGGCGCCTATGCGGTAGTGTAATCGGGGGGAGGGGCTCCTGAGAGCGCCCACTACGTCCCTAACACATGGGCGGTCATTGAAGTGTGTTCTACCTGATTATTTTGGTGAGTGATTAATGTACACGCGGTAGTGTAGGTAAACCCGTGTCCCGATATTTATGATCCAAGAGCAGGCATTGTTTACATTTAAATAATTCACTTTTGAAAAACAAGGTCATGCGTCTAAGAATATATATATATATATATATATATATATATATATATATATATATATATAGGATTGGTAACGCATAAATTAAACCCTTCTTGTATATTTCGTCGGACTTTCTTCTATCCCCGCGGCAACGCGCGGGGACGGGTACGCGAGTAGTATTTAATATTAGCATGAAAGTTGTGATGTCACTTCTAGTAGAATGTCAATAGAAATCGTAAGTAGTTTTGTAGAAACCGCTAGTCTTTTTGTAAAACTATGTTTATCCAATTTTAGTAATTGTACAAGGTCGAGATTTCACAAAAATTTTATGTCGGGTTATTTTACAAAATTACCTCCAGTTCTAAGGAAATTAAGAGAAAAAAAAAGAAACAAGACTCTCTTCATGGTCTACTGACTGCGGGTTCAGCCGTGCGAGACATGGATTCTCAAGCGAGTCAACGAACATGATATAATGTCAGTTTAAACTTAAAAGCCTTTATTTTAAAACATGTTTTAGTCATCCAGTGAGGCATACAGAGATATAAAACTTCCAACAAGTGCAGTATGACGAAGGCGTGTTGGCGTGCATGAAAAATGTCACGTGTTACACGATCAAATGTTGGTGTTTCTTTTGTAATAATATAGTATGCTCTTTAAATCCGTTGAAAACTACTAATGATATAGAAATAAAAAGGACAGAAAACGAAGACGTAGCTCGCGTTCCTATACCGACTATACAAAGAATGACACACTACATAGCGTCTTATATTGTTGTTACTCAACGTTCATATTGGCTTATAAATTTTATATATATATATATATATATATATATATATATATATATATATATATATATATATATATATATATAGGCCTATATATACATTTATTCATATAATAAACAATAAACAGAGTAGGTGTACCAATCGCAGCTGGAGTGGTTGTTGCTGTTTCTGTGGTTGTAGCTGGGTTCTGCGTTGTGTCGGAAACTGCTGTATCTGGTCAGTGGATAAAAATATAAAAAGCCCACAACTATAATTTCATAATCTTTTAATAAACATTTTTAAAATGTATTTGTATTATAGAAACATATTAAAAGCATAATATTTTAATACATTGTCAACGTGTAACGATTCATTTACCGAAAGCAAATGTGATATTTTATTAAAACAGTCTCACTTCATACAAAAACATTAGTTCAATAAATCGAAATTTTAATATATAAAAATGAAAGTATCTTACGTCTGTTTTTGTGTGGGTGGGTGTATTTGGGTGTGTGTCTGTATTTTATGACACCATTCATAATATCGCCATGTGGCTTTGGGAAGCTGTTGAGAATACTTCTGGAGATGTTTCTTTGACACAAAAAAATTATTTCGGAAGTGCGGCGCCCCCTTAGGGTGTGATTTGGCACAATTGCCCCCCCCCCCTCTCCACCAGTTAGCACTACTTAACTCGTTGACTAAATTGAATTACGCGTGTCGGTCGACGCCCATAAAGCTTTAAAAAATATCCTATGGTCCATGAAAGCGTCCCGCCAAATTACTGACACCTGTGGTGTGTTCTACCTCACTATTACAGAGGAAGACTAAAGTACAAACAAGGCTTTTATTCAGAACGCCCTGGGACGTATGAGCGGTAGTGTGGACACTTTCGCGCCCCAAGAACTATGATCCAGGAAATAAAACGCCAGCTTTGTTAACATAAATTACTCTGTTCTAGAAAACAACTTCATAGTCTAATAATAAACTATTAGTAACGGGTTGATGAAGTAAAAGTAAAGTTCCCTTCCAAACCTGACGGTCTACGGGGCAAGTGAAATAGAGTTCACTTGTTTCTGTGACCTCTGTATATGAAGGGAGAGTGTGGTTAGTACTACGCCCAGCCGCCTTAACTTTTCCTTAACGTGAGTTAGGTTCCCATTAGAGCTGGGTGGACTCAGGGACGGTCTACTAACTTGGACCAGGATTCGAACTAGAGACTAACGGATAAGCAGTCCAGCTCTCTATCACTAGGTCACTTCGTCCCATAACGGGTTGATGAAACCCTTATAAAATGTGCCCCACTATGTGTGTAGAACTAGATCACAACAACGCGTGGGACAAGTACGCTAATTATAAATAAATGCTTAATGCGAAATAATAAAGAGCTAGCAACGTAAGATAAAATAACATATGCGCTTTAATTATAACTGTGTACCAAATTATCTCTTCAACCTCATTTGGTAGCTTATAATTATCACAAGATAAACTTTTTAATCAGGCTGTGGATTAAATTCCGAGATTACAATTAATAAGTCATTACTATATGCACAAGCTGTATAAACACTGACCACACGTGCAATAGACGAACGCCTGCGTGTTCTGGTTGGTCACTGTGTCCACGGCATCCCCGTCAGCTCCATACAGCTTGCAAGCACCTTGATAATAATCGTAGAGAAAACACCTCGGGTTGTTGGAGCAAGCTTGAAAACATGCCTGGTAAAAGGAAACATTTACATTTGTTTTTAGATAGCTCGAAACTGGTTGACATTTGTTAACTGCTGCAACTACAACCATTAATTAATATCAAACTCGATTGGAGAACACAATAAAATAACTGCCAACATTGACCAGTACTATGAAAGAAAATCAAAAGATAAATGCGTTGATTTTAAGGACTATTTCTAAAATTGTCAATTCACAACAGGTAATGGTGGCGTGTCCTACATCACAGCTGTGATAACTAGTTTATAAAAACTGAAAAATAATATAAAGAAGATTAAACAAATTAAATTTTCCTTACCTGATTTGTAGTCGCTTCTGTGTCTAATCTTACTTGATTTTTTCCAGTTTTGCAGACTTTAGCTGTGTAATTGAAATACAAATAGAATATAATTGTCCTTGTTTAATACATGTATTTCAACTCTAGCTTTCTACTAGCCATACGGCTAGTATTCTTCCGGATGGGTCTACAGAAAATATCAAAAGACGCTTGTCCAAAAGGCGTTTGTATTGATATATCTCTGGTAAACGTCTTATTGAGCTTTCTCACTTGCGGCAATAACTTCTAAACGTGCATTATTGCATTTAGACAAGACTAGTGTCTTTCGGTCAGACGTCACGGTTAAAAGTTTTACATGCTACATATGTATATGAGGATTGCTGCATAGAAACACGCTTATATGAGGTGTTCTCTAGAAAGGGGCACTTATTATCAGTCATTTTCTCCTATTTTATCGACGTAGAAAACAGTTGGTAAGTCAGCAAAACCAGGTAGAAGTCTATTGTCTGTATATTGACTGTGGATAATTTAAAATTGCTGCTTAAAAATGTGAGCTGTAAAATCTTTTAACCTGGTAGTCTCGGCGCTCTACACCCCCCCCCCCCCCATCGAACGAAATGGAATTTATATAGAAAATATATACTTCTACCAGTGTCCGCCCCCCCCCCCTGAAAAATATTGACCCCCCGAAAATATCAAGTGACCCCCCCCCCCCAGAGAAAAAAATGTGGAAGAAACACTGTTGGCCGGCCATCCCCCCTGACCCCCAAACCCTCTCCTCACTACGCCTCTGTATTGAACGTTTGCGGAAAGTACGAAAGAATCATCTGTATTAAAAATAGTTCAAAATAGTGTTTAGTACTGCCACAACTAACCTACCCACAAACAGGCTACTAAAATATTTACTACACTTACCCACAAACAGACAAATAAACCTATGAAAGCCACTAAAATACTCACTACAGTTACCCACAAACAGACAAACAAACCTATGAAAGCTACTAAAATACTCACTACAGTTACCCACAAACAAACAAACCTATAAAAGCTTCTAAAATACTCACAACAGTTACCCACAGACAAATAAACAAACCCATGAAAGCCACTAAAATACTCACTACAGTTACCCACAAACAGACAAACAAACCTATGAAAGCTACTAAAATACTCACTACAGTTACCCACAAACAAACAAACCTATAAAAGCTCCTAAAATACTCACAACAGTTACCCACAGACAAATAAACAAACCCATGAAAGCCACTAAAATACTCACTACAGTTACCCACAAACAAACAGACCTATGAAAGCTACTGAAATACTCACTACAGTACCCACAAACAAACAAACCTATGAAAGCTACTGAAATACTCACTACAGTTACCCACAAACAAACAAACAAACAAACCTATGAAAGCTACTGAAATACTCACTACAGTTGCAGTAGACGTATGCATAGGTGTCGACATTGTCCACTGTGTTCATGACATCCAAACTCACAATCTGATAACTGCACGCGCCGTTTTCAAACGTGTACTGGTAACATAGTGGGTCGGCTGCGCATACTTCAAAGCAGCCCTGTTTTAATAGACAAATATTAAAATAGCATCTTCTGTCGTAAAGCAGAAACAGAATCAAGTTTTAATTCAACTCCTCTCGTGCCCAAGACCCGTTGGGCCGAACACAGAAAGCACTTTCCACTTTTACCGGTCTCTGGCAATTTCTCGACCCCCTCCAATTACCGGAGGCGGTTCGAAAATCAACAGGCAACTTATCAAAAAATCCAAAATAAATATATATGTGAAATGTGGTCTACCTAATTTAAACGGCATTCAAGTTGAAAAACCGGAAGTAGAGAAAGTACTATTTCTTGTTACCATAAAACGTTCAAAAGTTGACAATAAAATGTTATATTGAATATACTTCTTTTTCTTCTTCTTCTCTTAATGTTATTGTTGGAAGGGATCCCTTCCAACACAATTAAATATTTGAGGCCATTGACTCCGATTTCAGCCTGCTTTTCTTTTTGGATTTGCGTCCATAACCTTTGTCCAACCAAGAATAAACTACAAGGCAGCAGTTGTTAGTGGCTGTCCCCAGATAACGTGCCTCATCTGCCTGAGGGTTCGAACCCGAATTTTTTAGGTTTAGCAATCAGGAGCTTTACCGACTCGACCACGGCTACCCTTTGAATATACTTATATAAGGTATTTTGACAACCTGATATAACGATACTTTAGTTATCGTGTTCACATAATCAGACACAGACGAACAAGATTGCAAATTTCCGGCCCCGGAAACATTACATTTGTCAAAAACTCGATTTAGATTTTTTTGAACGATTACAATACATTCATTATGTTCCGTATACCATAACTATCAAAAACTGTCAAAGTATATGTTAATTATTCAGCATGGTTACAATATGTTCTCTATACTGTTTATGATCGAAAGTAAAAGAAAAATATTTCTATCTATTAAAAATGGTTTGGTGATCGGGATCATGTAGGCCTACTTGTTTGAGTTCGGTACCTTCAAAAAGATTAAAGCTAAATTCCTACTAAAGTACCTACTATAAAGTCAATACAAAATAAGCTTAAAAACTCCCATATTACCTGGTTGGTAGGTGCAGGTGGAGTAACCGTCCCCACACCTCTTAAGGCTGTACATTGGGATGCTGAAAATAAATGGTTTAAACATGCACATGAGAAAGAATGTATAATAAATAATGTGTACATAGATACATTCGCCTCAGCGTGTACACATACGCACATATAAACGTAAATATATTTCATTTATATATATATATATATATATATATATATATATATATATATATATATATATATATATATATATATATATATATATATATATATGTATTCGTAAAAGAAATTATCATTTTATGGAGCAGCTTCTCAATCGTCGGATAAAAGCGATATGCGGTAAATGTTACCCACTTTTTAAAGTTAATGAGATATTGTCTACGCCTTTAAAAAAAATATTTTTCTATAATAAGGTGTTCACTTACGATCACCTTCTAGTCCTCAACGATGTCATTTAGAACGACTCTAGGTTTCCAAATTCGATGAAATAACTATGGAAAAGGTTTGCTGCTGACGACTTTGCCAGCTATTATTGTAAACGTTCACTGTTTATCAAAAGAATATCAGCCTCTGTTTTGTTCTGAGGGGATTCGGGGGTGGATTTAACTTTTTCCCTGAGGTTTCATTGAGTACCAACTTTCTCCGATATGTAGATTATATAAGGCAGTGGTCTATTTCACTCAGTCTTCATGTTTTTAGTCAAATGACCACACAATTGAAAAAGCCTCATCACGGGTAACATCCACGTGTAAGTGGCTAATTGGGTACAAAAGGAGCACGATCTGACGTAATATCGTCTTCACCACTTGAAACCTTATTTCCCTCTATTCTCACAGAAATGCAATAATGCAATACTTATACTGCTAAGTAAAGTTTCCCTTTCAAACCTGATGGTCTAGACTCAAGAACGGTCTACTGATTTGAACACGGATTCGAACTCGAGACTTGCGGGTTAGCAGTACAGCTCTCTACCGCTAGACCACTCCGTCCCACCATGCTTCTACATCTGCATTATATCTGTATCTGCAACTAACGTTATTGTATTGAGGAGCGTATTGTACTTTCTGAATAAACTTTTTGTGGCAAACGTTAGCAAATGGTCAGCGATAAATCATACTTGATTTTCCCATTATTTCGTTCACAGACTGCAGTGAGATATTGAGGTGTACATAAGGTTCTAAAACGACATAAAATATGTGAGATTCACAGTTTTTTAAGGCAGCTCTTCGTGGGAGGGTGGGGAGGGGATGATGAGGGGTGGGTAGTACCCCCCCCCCCCACCCATCACAGTTCCGACGAACAAGATAGAACATATTTTATTTTTAAACTATATAATTTAGCCAGTGTCCCCCCTCCCCCTAAATGTATCCCCCCACACACACACACGAAAGTTGCAATTGCCTCCCTCCCCGGAGAAGAATATCTGAAAGAAACACTGATGCCGTCCAACTAGTTGCTCGTTTGCTACTATCTCGACTGCCATCCTGCGATTAAAAAAAAACAGTAGGCCCTATTTACATAGATTTATGGGATTTTGTGTTTAAAATGACCCGCGTCTTTGTAAATTAAACTATATGCAATGTTTAACTTATCCTCTGAATAAACATCTGGCGAAGATGTCCCATATTTGTTAGGCTCTATGTATTTCAAATCTGATGTCAGATCAGTCATCCGTACACTCTTTGTATGTATGTTTCTAATGTAAATTATTGCGATATCGCATGCAGTTTATCAGGGGAGGAGGGGTGGTAGGGTTGTGTGACAGTGGCTAAGTGTTTGTGGCTGAGTGGTATGAATAGAGTGGTAATAGCTATGTGATATAAAAAAAAGTTTTTTAGGAAAGCTATGCAGTGATATTTAGGCATTTTGCCAAGGGAGACAAAACATCTTTACAGACCCTAATTTTAACGGTAGATTGCGCGCCTACTAAACCTGATTATCCAGCTGGAATCTGCCCGGCGATGGAGTTTGTTCAAATCAGTTATGACAATTTAGAAATATTATATTTTTCATCCTTATGTGACATTCCCATGGGGTGGTGGAGGGGGGACCCAATAAAAGACTTTTGTGGACGGGTGCAGATAGGGAGGGAGGGGGGTGTGATTATTGTTGAATTTAACATCGCTGTACTCACATGTAAAACTGACATAAAACTTGTATCCTCCATACAAGATGTAAAATTGTGACGGCGAACAAAAATAAACCGGGAGTAATCTCCCCTAAACTTTCTCGAATATTCTTATATAACTTGAAATATAGACATGATTTTTAATTACTTAAACATTTAAAAATAGTATAGAATCTCTTAGAAAAAATAATTGCGCACCAAGCGAACGCCAAAACAAAATGTGCATAATAGTGCGCAATATTATTAGTACTTTATAAATTTACATGCGTTTTTTGAGAAATCGAAAATAGCGTAAATTAGTACTTCCGGTCAACGGAAATTACTCAAAATTTGAAAGAATGCAGAGGATTAGATCTTTTACTTAGGTATGATATTTCATTTATCTATCTGAAATAGTACTCAAGTTATAGGCTTTTGAAAAATTCAAAGTAGAAAAAGTACCACTTCCGGTTATCGGAAATCGCTCAAAAGTTGATCAGGATCTACGATTTTACTAAAATACTTAAATATGAAATATCATCAACCTAGCTTTACCGGTACTCAAGTTATCGTGTTTACACACCGACAGACAGACACACAGACACACAGACATACGGACAAGATTGTAAAATTATGTTTTTCCGTATCAGTGAGGTGTAAAACGTCGAGATTTGTAAAAATCTCGATTTTTTTTTTCTGCACGATTACAAGACTTTCTCTATACGAGAAAGTAAAAATGCAACTCAGCGGGTAAAAAAAATCACATGATTTATATCTACACTGGGGTCAGTTTTACCTCCTCTTTCCTATCTGACGTCACACATTGTCACGCAAAGCCAGAATTCACCTTCTAAAATGACGTAACACATCAGCCTATGACACGTCTCGAAATCGTTTTTAAAAATGCGAGAGTGATCTCCCCTTTACTTTCTCATGTACTCTTATATAAAAGTATGAGAAGTATAGGGAGGGTACATATGCCCCAGGGCGCCGACCCTGGGGGCCGAAATGGGATGGAAAAAAAATTAAAAGCTTATTTAGCTGCAGTTTTGCATAATAAATATAATATATGCATAATAAAATAATATATGGTGGGGGGCGCCAATTTTCGAGGGATTTCCAATAACCGGAAGAGGTGCGTATTGTGCTTCTGGTTTCTTGCTCTGTTTTTTTTCTTCTATTTTTTACAATTTAAGATCTAACCATTTTTGAAAACTTTTACCATGTTTGGCACATGAAAGTAAGTATTAAACAGCAAAAAAAGGTTTGTCGTGGAAACCTGAAAAATCCTCCGCCATTTTGAAAACGCTAAGGCTTTTTTATTTATGCATTTATGGAAATCATATTTAAATATCTTATATTTCAGTATATACCAAAAATTTTTGAAACGACAACTTTTTGAAAGAACTGGTGGTCATAATTCTACAAGGTCTGAAAAATCGCACCCTTTTTAGTATGCAAATGTTTCAAATTGTCATATTATTTGCCATAAAAAAAATCTCTATGAAAATAACCACAATTTCAGCGTGAGTTTTATTTTTGCACGAAGAACAGTTCATGAAAATAGGGTGGGCATTGTATAAAAAATGGACAAAGTATCCAAAAGTGCAAGAAACCCATCATGACGAAAAAAAAACAGGAATTTGGTGATTTTGTAAGGAGCATATCCCCTTAAATGCCAATAACTAGACCGCCAAGTAAGTTTGATAGACAATTTTCATATATGTATTAAACTATATGTTCAGTATTCGATCTACTTTTGTGCGATTTCCGGTAACCGTATGTTTGTGATACTTTACTCTACTACTGTTTCATTTAGATAAAAGGAATTTCATTTATAGGTATTGGATCTTATACTTAGATTA